GATGTCACACGGACTACTTTGTCGATCATCTTGGTACTTTTCTGGACCTTGAACGTGGTAGTTACCTTGCTGTCTATGGCAGGGTCAGAGAGCCCTCAGATTTCATCAAAAATATCTTAAATTGTGTTCTGAAGATGAACACGAGGGTGAGTAATTAATGACAGAATTTTCATTTTTGGGTGAACTAACCCTTTAAGTTAACAGTGAATATGTGTCCCTAATCTAAAGTGCTACCAAATATTAAAACGATGCTAGTAGACAGTGAAGCAGCTCACTAGAGTTTGGAACAGAGCTGATGTCTGACCTTGTTCATATAATTTGCATAAATACTGACGATATCAATCTGACAAGCGGTACCTGCTGCACATGTGGTCTATGAGCAGAGACACGTCGTCCAGTCCGCTGTCCAGTTTGCTGTTGTGGTAGAGACAGCGATCTCTCTGCAGCTCCACGGCCTGCCGCAAGAGCGTCTGCAGACGACGGGGCGGCAGCATCACAGACGGAGGCAGGTACGCTGTGGGAGAGACACGAGAGAGAGACGGACACAGAGATGGAGCAGAGAGGGTTAGACTCAGTTTCATCTGAATTCAGCCAACACAGGACATCAAGTGAAAGTCACAAGGTCCCTGATACTAACACCCAAAAAACTTTGATTTTGATTTCATGGGTACTTTAACTAACAATAGTTCCTGAAGGACAGCATCCTCCAGGAAGTGACATCAACAGCACAAACATCAGTAAGGTTCAGCAGTGGATTTTTGTGGCGTTTTGTCGAATTTGTTGTTAAAATATCCTGTTTGCTCAAATTACATAAATGTGACCCTGCAGCACAAAAGCAGTCTTAAGTCGCTGGGGTATATTTGTAGCAATAGCCAAAAATACATTGTATGGGTCAAAATGATAGATTTTTCTTTTATGCCAAAAATCATTAGGATATTAAGTAAAGATCATGTTCCATGAAGATATTTTGTAAATTTCCTACCGTAAATATATCAAAATTTAATTTCTGATTAGTAATATGCATTGCTAAGAACTTAAGTTGAACAACTTTAAAGGCGATTTTCTCAATATTTAGATTTTTTTGCACCCTCAGATTCCAGATTTTCAAAATTCCAAATATTGTCCTATCATAACAAACCATACATCAATGGAAAGCTTATTTATTCATCTTTCAGATGATGTATAAATCTCAATTTTGACAAATTTACACTTAAGACTGGTTTTGTGCTCCAGGGTCACAAATCAGTATGATAGCAGCATTCATATACCATTCAAATAACACTAAAATTAACCTCAACATCCTACTTCAGCTCTTTATTTCAGTCATGTTAGCAATCATGCTGATGTTCTTTCCACTGTGTAATAATCAAGTTATAATAATTAATTAATAAACAAAACAATATGGTCACGTGTCCAAGCTTGATCAGAGAATATTTCTAAAAGTCTGTTTGACCATTGATATTTCCCCCTAAATGTATTTGTTATAGTTACAGGAGTCGTATGTGTTTATGTGAGCTCACTCTGCAGCTTGTCGAGGAGTTTGGATCGTGAGGCCGTCCCTTTGCCTTCCCACTCAGCTTTAGCTCGCAGGTCATCGGGAAGAGTGCACATCAGGTACCTACAGCAGACATCATGATGAACAACAGCACACACTGATCAAACAAGGCTGGAGCCACAGAGCTGTTAGACTCTCATTAAAGTTGAATATTTAAACTAAAAGAAAAGAATATTAAAAAAATACACATGGGACACAAGAAGGTTCAATTCTGAATCTGGATTAATATTCTGCAAATCATATTAATCATATCATGATTAATCCTTTTCTCACTGAAAAAGTGTTATTTTGGTATAACTGATATACTATTATGGTTTTTGTTTATATTTTGAATTAGATTTTTCTTTTTAACGTATTTTCTGTTTTCTATGGAAGCTTGTTTCCACCACTGAATAAAAAAAGAAAAAAGCAATTGTGACTTTATCTCACAATTCTGACATTTGTTCTCACGATTGCAAGTTTACGTCTCGCAATTGTGACGTTTATGAAAAATGCAATTGTCGAGTTCATATCTCACAATTCTGAGAAAAGAAGTCAGAACTGTGGGATATAAAATCGCAATTGGGTTTTTATTTCAGTTTTGCTTAAAATGCGAGTAATTTTGTTGTGTGTGTTTTTTTAATATGTTTATACAAGTTTTCGTTTATTTAGTTTGATTTATTTTAGTAAATTAAATCAAAATGAGAAAGGTTTGCTTTGACAACTAGCTGAAATAAAATCATTTTAAAAGTTCTTTAAAAGTTAGTTTCAAGTAATGAAAATGTTTTCATATGGTTTTAGTTTTTTGTTCTAAAATCAGGTCTAAATTAACTTTTTCATGACCTACTTGACTCTTAAAAATAAATGGGTAATTTTTTGCTGCTGGGCCTTTAAAGTCAACACCTTTTGCAACAGACTTTATTGCTATAACATGACCTACTTCCAAGAGAAACAGACCAGAATAGAAGTAGAGTGGGACTTTGGTTTTGATTTAATTTTGATTTCATGTTGACTTTAAAGTTGTTTGAACACTCTTTTTACATGTGAAATGAAAAACAGCGCTTTGCTGCTTTTGGCAAGCAAAATAAAAAAAAGTAACTTTATTTTAAGATGATGTACACTACCAGTAAAAAGTTTTTTCATGTTTTTCAAAGAAGCCTGCATTTATTTGATCCAAAGTTTTAAATATTGATAATAATAATAATAATAAATGTTTGTTGAGCAGCAAATCAGCATATTAGAATGATTTCTGAAGATCACGTGACACTGAAGACTGGAGTAATGATGCTGAAAATACAGCTGCGCATCACAGAAATTCATTACATTTTAAAATACATTCAAATAGAAAGCAGTTATGTAAAATAGTAAAAATATTTCACAATATTACTGATTTGGCTGTATTTTGGATCAAATAAATGCAGGCTTGGTGAGCAGAAGAGACTTCTTTAAAAAAAAACATTAAAAAATCTTACTGTTCAAAACTTTTGACTGGCAGTGTAGTTATATTACATGAACTTCTTATGGTAATAACAGACAATTATGCATAATTACCAGAAACTAACCCTAAACCAAACCCTAATCTTAGCCATACAGAAATTACATTCAGTTAATTCATATTACTCGGTACTTATTACACTATAACAAGTAACAAATATTTATTTATTTATTTTTCAGTAGAACTTTTACCAGTACCCAATTCTTTGCAGGGTTCTTAAAAGCATAAAATGTCTATATTTTGAACATTTTTTCTCTCTATCTGTGGCCTCCATAACAGAATGGCTGCAAACAGGCAGAATTTCTTTCAAAGGTCAGAGTAAAGTTGCTTTCTTATGACAGGACACCTAAGATATTCAAACAAATGAGGAAATGACTTGGCTGTTCAAATGCCCCCAAAATAGTTGTGAAGTGTGATACCCGCTGAGGACGTGGATGCGTTCAGTGTTGTACTTCAGGGGCGTGAGTTCAGCTCGGAGCACCTGCAGCGCTTCTAGAACCTTCCCGTCCTCCAGATACTCCAGATACTTCTGCTGCAGGAGCAGGAACTTCATCCGCTGCACAACACAGGAGAACATCAGTCAGGACCTTCATACACCGGATGCTGGAGATGTTCAGAGGACTTTGGACTCTTACCATCACAGCGCTGGGTGAATGCATCAGTGCTTTCAGCTCGTTGAGGTCACTCTCAGCCTGTTAGAAACCACAGACAGATTAACTGAGTTTTCACAAGTTGACAAACCCTTATCTGTTGCTTGTTTGGCTTGTTGTGACCCATATGACCATTACATACACAAAAAGGGCAAAGTTTAGAAACACCCATAAGGTGTAATCCTACTAGCTATTTATGGGAGTCATAAGCAGTTTAATGATTCTGGTTCCAGCTCCGATTCCACTGCATTATTGTATAACTGTTTTAATGGGGTATTTAACCCAAATATTAAAATTTGCTGAAAATATGCACAGAAAACAAGACGAGAAAAGGTTGTCATCATGACAATGGCTATCAGGCGTGTTATTCAGATTTGTATCAGAGTAATACCATGCCATTCTTTAAACTACTTTAGTTCTATGGAAGTGCTATGGTAAACATATGTCAATCACTCAGTAACATGGTATTAAAATCTGAGGCCATTAATGTTACAGCATTTTAATAACTCTTTTCATTCTGACATGCCGAGAGTAAACAAAACATTCCAGTTGTCTCTCATCTGCATGCCACAATGTTAAGATATTTCCTATACTGGCCACATGAAGACTCACCTTTTCCCACTCCCCCTCCATCACATGATTCCTGAACTTGGTAGCAGCAGGATGCTCAAGTCTACAGCCCGATTCCTGCATCAACAGGTCCACAGTTTGACTGAAACATGACAAAAAGAAAGATGTTAATGAATATTGGGAAGTGAATTCATACTCCTTTCACAAGATAGCCTAAGGATTACAGAACTGATTCACACACACACACACACACACACACACACACACAGACAGTGTTCCAATCTCCTAGCAACAAGAAGTCAGTGTTTGATTCATGAACACAATAATTAACACATAAACTCCTGAATGTGTCATTTCCTAGAAAGGAACACTACTCCTACTCAACTCACTATAAACTGTGCAGTGCACCAATTCACCTGCTTTTCTACACCTAAAGAGAACGGTACGGTTTATGCTGGGCAAGACATACTGCAATAAAGCTATTTTACCTTGCTTTTCCCTTATCAACAATAACAACTGAACTAGTAAACTAATAAACTAGATATGTATATACACATATGTGCTTTTTTTAACTTTTCAAATTCAGATTTTATTAAAAAACAGTTCTTGTTTTTTGTTGTTCTTTTTGTTATTTGAAGGTCTGACAGGACTTGCGTACTCTGTCCAGTCCTGGCTCTTTGAGTTCTGTAGCAACATTAAATTATACAGTCTTGGCTAAAACAATATTATATTATAGAGTGTCTGGTAATTTAGAGAAACAATAGCATGAAAATACAAAAATACCACTGCAACATCTTAACAGTCACTATTATTACATTATTATTAAAGCAGAAAACACCACTAACACCGTCATGACAACACAAAAACACCACTGGCAGCATCATGAAAGCACAATAACACCACTGACACGGTTATGAAAATAGTAACACCACTGACATGTGACAAAAACACTGCTGAGATCTTCATGAAAGCAAAAAACACTAAAAACTTTAAAAGAATCAACTGACACCATCAAACAGCATGAAAAAACCCCACGGACACAAACAGCATATTACAAAAACACTACTGACGCCATCATGACAACACAATAACACCACTGACACGATCATGAAGACACAATAACAGCACTGAAATCTAAAAAAATCCACTGACACCATCACGAAAGCACAAAAACACCACTGCCACTGTTGTGAAAAGCACTGACACATTACAAGAACACTACTGACACCATCACAAAAGCACAATAACACCACTGACACTGTTATTAAAAACAATAACACCACTGACAAAATCTTACATTTTAAATCTTAAATTTTACTAAAATCCACTGATACCACCATGAAAGCACAAAAACACCACTGGCACAGTTGTGAAAACAACAAGAGAACTGACATTACAAGAACACTACTGACACCATCGTGAAAAGACAAAAGCACCACTAATCTAAAAAAAAAAAAATCCACTGACATGTTACAAAATAGTAATATTACAATCACTACTGACGAAACCCTGCTGACACTGAAAAACACATAAAAAAAAAAGAACACCACTGACTTGGTAGAAAAGCACGACTCACACCATCATGGCAACACACAAACGCCACTGACACTGTTGTGAAAACAATAACAGCACTGACACGTTACAAGAACCATCGTTAAAAGACAAAAACACCAGTGCCACGATCTTCAAAACATTAAAACATCAGTGACACACAACAAAAACACAACGGACAGCATGGTGAAAACACAAACACGCCACTGACACGACCAGGAGAGCCGCACTGAGAGCATCATGGCTTCATGTCGCCTGACCAATCCAATAACAACCCGACGATAGTCACTTACTTGAGTCCTAGCCCGTGGAGATGTTGTCCTATGAGCCGGATCACGTCCTCGTCGCTCTGGGACAGTCGTTTCTTCTTCTTCGTGCTGGTGTCAGACGTCGGGCTCTCGGTGGACGGCAGTCCTTTATTCGCGGAGGACAGCAGCCCGTTGGAGTGCACCGCTCCCGCGGCGGAGGACGAGGACTCTCCGTTCCTGCAGGACAGCTGCGGCTCCGGCTCCGGCTCCGGCTCCGGCTCCTGTCCTCCGGTCCCGTTGGCCTGCATGTTATAAAAGGCGTTTACAGCGGCGGATCTGCGCGACTGCGAGCTGTTATTGAGACGGATGGCCGAGCGCTGGTGGGGGGTTGGGAGAGACGCTGCAGAGAGGCCCGTGATCCCGGCAGCAGACGCCCCGCTGTCTCCTGCTCCCTCCGCCGCCGAGCCTCGGCTTTTCTTCCGCGGGGGCGGCGAAGCTCCGCCGGTTTCCGAGTCGGAGGAGGAGGCAGCGGAGGCCAGAGTTTCCTCGCCGGCGATGTCAGAGTCGAGACGCCTCACAGGCTCGATATCAGCGCGATTACAGACACGGAAGCCGCCGCCGCCGCCGTTCGCTCTTGTTATTGTTTGTCAGAGAACAGCTGCAGGTCCATTACGGACGTCGGTCGGTGCGCGATGACGTCCCCGGAAGCGCCGCAACAACCTTGAACTCTCTAGAATCATAAAACCACACTCAAGAAAAGTGCTGGCTTCGAGTCTTTGTTGTACAGTCTGTAACAGAAAGTACTGATGCTGTCAGATAGCAATACAGTGATACTTGAATACTTTCTGAATGAGTAACGCCATGAAGTGGTATTACAGCAAGCTGGTTAATACCTAAAACAGCTAAAACCAGCCTAAGCTGGTTGGCTGGTTTTAGCTGGTCATCCAGCCTGGTCTAGGCTGGTCATACCATTTGGTTTTAGCTGTTTTTTTCTTCTCAGGGACATGGTACTTCTCCAGTTGACTTACAGAAAAGTTTTGCATCCAATAATGCCGTTACCGATAATGCTGGTATGACTGTATTTACATGGTAAATAGGCCTACCAATATTTATATATAGCACATGGTCAAAAATATAAAATAATTAAGCTGTGTCTACAAAGCTATAGTAATACCATGGTAATTTCGGTATGTTTTTGTAAGTGGTATAGATGTGCTATACCTGGCATGACCTTTGCCCTGAGGAGAAGGGATTTTAAAGAAAGACTTCATGACCAGATTTCTTAAATGGAAACCAGAGACTCTTCCCAATTTTTTGAGTTCCATATACTTTTATATGGTGTTATGGTCAGTTTGACAATTCACCAAAAATCACAATATGGAAAAAAAAAAAGTATTTGTTGTATTTAATATTTTTTCTTTTCAGAAACTGAATACACTGTGTAAAGTACTTACAAATATTGGACACACTTTACGGTCTAATTCTCACTATATTAACTACGACTTTTGCCTCAATAAACTCCTAATTTGCTGCTTATTAATAGTGAGTAAGGTAGTTATTAAGTTTGGGTATGGTGTAGGATTAAGAGATCGAAAATATGGTCATGCAGAATAAGGCATTAATATGTGCTTTAATAAACAGTCAATATGCTAATAATATGCATGCTAGTTAATAATAATATTAACATATAAACTAGTCATTTGCACTTTACATATTGTTGCCCTTTTGTTAGTTTTGATTGCTACTATTGTCCTCATTTGTAAGTCGCTTTGGATAAAAGCGTCTGCTAAATGACTAAATGTAAATGTAGTTAATAGTGAGAACTGATCCTTAAAATAAAGTGTTTTATATTAATATTTTAATAGATTTTTCAGTTTTTTGTGTGTGCTTTTGTAGGCTATGTTGGTCTGGATTTTACGGTGTTTGCGAGGTGTTGTGAACATACTGTAAAATGTGGATGTTTCTGGGGACAGGAGAGCAAAAACCAGCTTCTTCATTTATGATTCTGTTGAAAAAGTTGGTTTGCTGGTCTCCCAGAACCTAGTGCCTAAAACTCCTCTAAAACCAGACCAGCAAACCATCTTAGGCTGGTTTTAACAACTATATCAAGGGAGTAATGCAAACATTGTTAATGAATTATTTGCCCAAACAGCTGTCAACTGTTAACTATTCTCAAATAATCATAAATATCAGTTTTCTCTCGAAACAGCAGAACTTTATGTTGCTTTAATTATTTTGTTGATGACAGTGTTGTAATACCACCTTACCAAACTTTTAATGTAGTAGCAATAATCGGAGTAGCTATGGAATTTGGTGAACCATTACGTGGAATAAATTCAAAAACATTTTTGAAATTGAAACATTTAAAATAATCAAACTCAGACAGCATTTGGTAACAGATCATTCAAAGTGCCATTTTATTCCATATCTAAGGATAATTCAAAAATATCAAATTTGAGCAAAATCCTGCATCAAACCACAGAGATTGGCCACAAAGTCATGCCTTCATAAACCATTTCAACATCTGAAAATCGAAATCAAACGCATTTCTGCTTACCGACAGAGAAGGTCCCTGACACTGGTAATAAATGAACTGTCAGGCCAGTTTAGAAGACACACCGATCCAGCCTAACGTCCTGTCTCTTTGTACAATACTCTTTAACTACAACTTTACATCATAATATAAAAATATGACTTGCTGGGAGAGGAGGGCTCTTTTGAAATCTGTACCGGAGAGCAGAATGCCGTAAAAGAATAAACTATTGCACATTCATCTAATCCTTGAGGAAAGACACCGTGGGGAATATATTCTGAACTAAGAAACGTTCATCCCTGCAATACTGCCCATGAATGACACGCACAATGAACCCGTTCACAGTGATACTCATACACCTCTGCTATACTTGCATCCTCAGAGTACCACAAACTGATGCACATAGTGGCTTGTATTTGGCACGTGAGGTACACTAGAATGCATAATGGGGTCCAAAAGTCTGAGATCACCAGTGAAAGTGCTTTGGGTTTTATTTTTAGAATTTAGTACAATATTTTTTATTACTAATTACATTGACAGTATAATCAGTTTAGTAAAGCTGAATTTTTTGGAGTTTTACAGTTGAGGTCAAAAGTTTACATCCCCCTTCTGCAAAATGTTCATTATTTTACCAAAATAAGAGGGATCATACAAAATGCATGTTATTGTTTATTTAGTACTGACCTGAATAAGATATTCCACATAAAAGATGTTTACATATAGTCCACAAGAGAAAATAATAGCTGAATTTATAAAAATTACCCCGTTCAAAAGTTTACATCCGGGGGGTGAAAACTTTGTAGATCAGGGTAAATTTAACTTATTTTGTCTTCTGGGAAACATGTAACTATCTTCTGTAGCCTCTGAAGGGCAGTACTAAATGAAAAAATATGATATTTAGGCAAAATAAGGAAAATGTACACATCTCAATTTTGTTCAAAAGTTTTCACCCCCGGCTCTTAATGCATGGTTTCTTCTTCTGGAGCATCAGTGAGCATTTGCACCTTCTGTAATAGTTGCATATGAGTCCCTCAGTTGTCCTCAGTGTGAAAAGATGCATCTCAAAATCATACAATCATTGTTGGAAAGGGTTCAAATACACAAAAAATGCTGGAAAACCAAAGAATCTGTGGGAGCTGAAGGATTTTTCTGAAGAACAGCAGGCAGTTTAACTGTTCAGGACAAACAAGGGATTCATGAACAACTATCACTAAACAAAAAAAGACACACAGCTGTGGATCATTCAGCTAACAACACAGTGTTAAGAATCAGGTCATTTTTATAAATTCAACTATTATTTTCTCTTGTGGACTATATGTAAATATCTTTTATGTGAAATATCTTATTCAGGTCAGTACTAAATAAACAGTATCATGCATTTTGTATGATCCCTCTTATTTTGGTAAAATAATTAATATTTTGCAGATTCTGAAACTTTTGACCTCAACTGTAAATATTGTTATCTTTTAATGTATTTTATACATTTTAAAATCCTAGAACTGTACGGTTATTTCCAGGGTTAAAACCCATGATTTAATGTGGTCTCAGACTTTCAAAACCTCATGCATGACCATTATTAATGGTTGAAAGTCAAAAAAAATAAATAAAGGTGACTATAGACTTTAGAAATGCATGAACACACACACACACACACACTTTCATAAGAGGCAAAGGCAGTCAGTATGCTTTCATACACAGGCATTCGGAGTAGCTTTTCAATGGCAAACAACATTCAAATATATCAGGGACTTTCAGGGCAATCTTTAAATAAATGATTAAATAATGAAACTATTTCAAATAAAAGAAGAACAAAAATAGGTAATTCATCGGTTCCTTTGAGCAGCGCAGTGCGTAATATACGGTAGAGTTCATTGTATTCGGTGCGATTTGAGTTTAAAAACAACCTGTTCATCTCTTTAGCAATCTAATAAAACCATTCAGCTTGTTTGATTTCATTCATTCATCTCTGTGCACACTTCCAAAATGTATATTATATAGTACTTCTCTCATATAAACAGAAAATCTCTGCCAACATTTCTTCCCTCAGCCTAATAAATAGAGAAAACACATTTGAAAGTACTAATTACTGTGTGTGCGTGTCGGTCAAGAGCTGTCCACCACTTGGTGCGGCAGGGTGACAAAAGAGCCGTTAATGAAGGAGCCTTGTTTTTCACATCCCTTTAGGAAGTAGGTGAGCAGCTCTCCTTTCCCCTTGACGAATATGGGTCCTCTCCTGACGAAGCGGAAGCCGTAGTCCTTCAGGATGCAGTAGCAGTCCTCCACCACCTGGGGGAAGCAGAGTTTGTTTAGCTGCCTTACAGCGCCGTCACTGTTACACTGCAGTAATGAGGACGAAAACCCACTTTTCAACTTGCGGTTGCATCGTCCTTGGTTTTTTTAGAAAACATTCTCAGGCTTTATTCTAAGACATTAGTACAAACCCCTTGTGATTTTTGACGTGTCTTGAAATGTGAAAAATCAAATGAAACATGACTGAAATATGTAGCATTGCTACCTCTAGTAATAGAGTCCCTGATGCTGAACTAAATTTAGGAAAGGTGTTTCCAGAAGATATCATTAAAACAATGTGAAAGCCATCACCTGGATGTTTCCCATCACCCCTGTGGACTCCATGCGACTGGCGACATTCACAGTGTTTCCCCAGATGTCAAAATGAGGTTTACGGGCCCCGATCACACCAGCCAAAACGCCCCCTTTATTCAACCCTATGGAGAAAACACACAGCAAATCATTAGGTGTAATCATTGTGTCGTTCACACACAGCTGGAAGTCAGGCCACTAACCGATGCGGAGCATGAAGTTATTGAAGGACTGGTAATTGATGTTCATCAACGTGACTTTCATGGCCAGAGCAAAATCAGCAAGATCTGCCAAGTGCTGCCACCGTTCCCGGTCTGAAATCGCTTCTTTCTGTTGGGAAGGACAAAAAAACCTTTACCTCTGTTTTAAAACAACCCCAATTCCAGAAAAGTTGGGACGTTTTGTAAAATGCAATAAAATCAAGAAGCTGTGATTTGTTAATTCTCTTTAACTTTTATTTAATGGTGCAATAGGTGATTGTCTTCAGAAACATTTTTTGTTATGCTGGTTGAAAGTCTCTTCACATCCCGATAGCAATCATTAAGTTAAGTGGTCTAAATGTATTTATCTGTATATATATATATTCTGTGGAAGGCGTAGGACCAAGAAATGTTCGTCCAATCAAAACGCTCGGTCCGAGCATTTTAATTGGCTTTTCTACCTGCCTGTCAACGTATGTATTAGCATACCTCTGCGCACCCTGTTCGCGCAG